TAAAAAATGTGAGAGAAGATAATGGAAAGAAAAAGAAAGATAATTCTAATCCTTGTACGAAATCCACCATCAGATTTTTTTTTTTCTTTTTTAAATTAAACCTCTTCCTTTTCTTTAGTTAAATCAGTCAGTTCTTGCAAGTTTTTACACTGCACAAAGGCTGATTTTGTGCTCCAGATAGAACCTATGCAATGGTGCGCGTTGCATAAGGAGAAATTCATTTGCCTCGGTTATTTTTACACAGTTTCAGACATAACTGGTTCGTTATAATTTCGAATTGAGTTTCGTCTGCGACCACGTGTTCGTAAAAGTGAGTACCATTCGGAAGTTGTACAATAAAAGTGGAAAAGTGAAAGGAAAACTGAGGTCCACATGGAAGGCCTACATGGCATCTCAGGGGCGTTTTGATAATTTCACTACTACTAAGAATAAAATATAATAAATTTCGAGACAGGATGTCACATTCTACCCCTTTAAGAAAATTTCGTCCTCAAAAGTAAAAACAACATACTTTAATCAAAAAAGAATTACGAATAGGTCTCCCACACGTTTCTCTGTTTCCCATGAAGTCTTTTCAGCATAATGGTTTCTCTGAATTCTGTATCACTTGTGTTTATGCAATCGTAGTGATGAGCACTACGAGTGTAGATGTATGTGTGTGTGTGTCTTTGGGTCAAGCCCAAACAATAATTAATTAGGCGTAAGGCCTAATTAATAAAGGGATGTGCTATCCACACGCCTCATTTTACTTCTCACACACCCCTTGATAATTTTTATCCGTTGCTCTTCTTCAATTCATTCTATCTGACGATCAAAAATTAAAAAGGTGTGTGAGAAATAAAATGGGGTGTGTGGATATCACATCCCTTAATAAAATACTATTGGAGATGGGCCTACTTACCCACTTGCTTAACGAACCCAACGTATAAGTTATCGATATATTAACAACATAAAGTGTAAAAAAAGTCTATTTGTAAAGTTAAACATGGCATATCACAGCATAATATATAAAAGCAGTTGTTGGAGAAAAATCACATATACATATATATATATATGTAAAAATGAAAAGACCCACTCACAGATATTTGCGATGTCACATCCATTCGAGCTAGGAAAGCCAAAGTCTCTGATAGTAATCGCACCTAAGCATAATATTGGGACCTATTAGTAAAACTCAACTTAAACGACTAAATTTGGGAAAATGGAGTACGGATTCAGAATCAGAGCGTCGAAATACGCTAAGAGGGGGTCCTTGGCAAATTTTGTAAAAAGTCAACCGAGCCGCCCGACGGTCAACTATGTTAAAACTTTGAAATTTCACTAAATCGATGTCAAAAAAGGACTCGGGACGTCGAAATTAGCCTAGAAGGGTTTCCGATAAAATTTTGAAAAAGTCAACATAAGCAATATTTTGGAATATTCCATAATGCATTTAGAATTTGGGCTGGGCTGGATCCCGAGTTCTAATCCAGATTTGGGATGGAAGGTCATGGGTTTGGGTCTTGGGCTCCTTTTTTTTCAATCGGGTTGGGCTGACTCATTTGGACTCGAGAGTCGCCCCAAAGTTTTGGGCCGGGTTTGGGCTTAAGCCCTTTTTTTTTTTTTTTTTTGTATAGGTTCATTTCTCAACCAAATTCTTAGATTCAAAAGCCAAAATGAAGTTCAAGAGGTAAGGAGTAGAAATATACCTATCCAGGGCTAAGCCGTGGCTGGAGTTGGGCGGAAAATACTTGCAACCCTCGAGTCCTTCGCCGAAATGTGGAAATTTTTTTCCCCGAGATGGTTTCTACAATAATGCCACCCAAACTCACATCTAAGGAGTCAATCGTCGTTAAAATGAGGCAAGGGAGGCAAAAACAGGTGGTTTGAACCTTACCTTGCTCGGAATCATTGAAACTTGCTGGTGGTTCATCTGAGGGAAAATGTACATTAGTCTCTGTCACTGTCGAGATTAAAGGGTTTTCGCCTAGGTTTGAGAAAATGAATGAAGTGATGATGGTGGTGCTGGTTCACGGGAAATAGTGGACTCGGCGACGTTGTTGGAGTCGGGTGAGGCAAGGTGGCGCTAGTGATTTCATAGAAAGGGGAGAGTGCCAGAGTAAGAGAAAGATACATATGACATGGTGGTCCGGTGTGGTTTAGCATTTCTTGTGGAGCTCGCTGGAGTGGCGATGGTGATGTTGGGTTTAGCATTGCTTGTGGAGCTCACTGAGTTTATAGAAGAAAGAGGTAAATGAAAAGAAAAGAAAGAAGGAGAAATGAGTGCAAGTGTGTGGGAATGCTATTTATACCATGTTTTTATACCACATTTCTATACCACCTTAGGTGGCATATGATGTGGACAACCACATCATTTGAAAAATTTGCAAAACCTAAGAAAATGAAGGAGAAAGACTCATCGTTTACTATAATCATTATTTAATTAACTAGTTTTTCTTAATTATTAGTTTATTAAATAATGAACTAAATTAAAAAAATCTGATTAATTCAAATGGTGTGGCTATCCACATCAAATGCTACTTAAAATGGTATAAAAATATAGTATAAAAATATAGCATGAATAACGTTACTTTGGAAAGAGAAAGAAATGAAGGAATCGGCTGAAACGAGGGAGAGAAAAATAATAAAATAATAAGAAAAAGAATGAGGCGTGAGAGAGAGGATGAGGGGGAGAGAGATGGTTAACGGTAGAAAGTTAATTTTGGTGTTCGATGGATGGAGTGTAGAAAGTGGGGTTCTCAAAACTCAAAAAAAAAAAACAATATTAAATCATCCACTTGCCTTCAATAAGGCAAAGCAATTCCTCATGCAGACCTATTGTACTTAATCCACCATCAGATTTTTTTTTAATTAAACCCAATAAAATATTAATTAAAGGTCACTTGCTTCTTTTTAGTCAAATCAATCAGTTCATGCAAGTTTTTACACTGCACAAAGGTTTATTTTGCAGAATTAGGATTTTCTCTCCTCATTTTTATGTTCTTTTTAATAAAAAAAAATTAATATAAAATATTAATGTAATTTAACTGTGACCGTTTAAATAAAAAAAAAATAAAAAGAGAGGAAAAAGAAAAGAAAAAAAAAGAATCCTACTCGTATTTTGTGCTCCAAATAGAACCCATGCAATGGTGCGTGCTGCACAAGGAGAAATTCATTTGCCTCATGTATTTTTGCACAGTTCCAGGCATAATTTGTTCATTATAATTTTGAATTGAGCTCCGTCTGCGGTCACATATTTATAAAAGTGAGTACATTGGAAGTTATGCAATATGAGTGGAAAAGTGAAAGGAAAACTGGGGTCTACATGAATGACCTATACGACATTTCAAAGGTATTTTGATAATTTCATTATTATTAAGAATAAAATATAATAAATTTCACATTAACAAACAAATATATTGAAATATAAAAATTGAATTTAAATTTGTCCACTAGATTATCTTTTTCTTTTTCGGATTGGTGTTAGCTTACTGAACAAAATATAATAATGAGTGTTCGTTTGCTTGGATGTGGTGAAACCCAAATTTATGCGACTAGAGAAGTAAAAAAGTTTTTCCCCCTTTAGGATCCTGCAAATGATTAGGTAAAGACAGTAAGAATTACAAATAATATTAATCGTTATTATTATTATTTTTTTCTTCCAACCAATAATGTAGTAGGATATTGCTTATGAATAATTATCGTAAAATGAACTCTTTATCTTAGTTTGTTGGTAAATAGTCACATATTCACTATTCATCCATTGTTCATCTATATCATACTCCTAATTGTTCATGTATATCTTACTTCTAATTGTTTTTTGATGATTTTTTACCGCTACACTCCTTTATCTTATATGAACACAATGAATGAATTCGATCTTCAATTTAAAATATTCATACTAGTGGATACCATAAAATCTTATGTCATGATGATCGATGAAAATTAAGGATTTTGTAAAAGAAATAACATGCAAGCTTTAAATTCCATTGGCAAGGTTTAAAATTTTGAGAAAAGCTTCACAACCTTGAAAACAAAAACTCTTTCATTTTGCATATCCTTGCACATTTAATATTTTGTAATAGACTAGTAGTGTATACATGTTTGTTTATTAGACTCTTATTTTCGAGTGTAGATGTAGTACTTAAACGACCAATGTGTTTTAATGTTTTGAAGTAATATTTATGTGACAATGTGTGGTATGTGCAAATTAAGAAAAAAAAATATTTTTTTCTTAACGGATCGGGTCACTTTACCTGTTGGGCAAAGTGACCCAACTTGTTACGGACTTATTAAGATAACGGATGTAACATGACACAACTTGTTAAAATAACATATGTTACACGAAAACGACACAAACACGACAGACACGACCCGTTTGCCAGGCCTAGATTAAATAAATGGGGTGTACTATCCACACATCTCATTTTACTTCTCACACATTCCTTGATAATTTATGTCCGTTGATCTTCTTAAATTCATCCAATCCGACGGTCAAATATTAAAAATGTGTGCGAGAAGTAAAATGGGATGTGTGGATATCACACTCCTAAACAAAAAGGAAACTTGTCCTTCTAATCTTTGTAATTTGGAAGGGATTGAAATAGATAAGTTTTCTTGAGTATTCCATTTTCTACCTTCAAGTTGAACTCAATTTTATCAATTCTTCCTTCAATACAAGGTTATCCATTTCAATCTAATCCTAGAAACCAAACCCGGCCAAAGTGATTAGATAAGATCAATGAGCTATTGTGCTAATTACCAAACATATTATTGCTTACATTTATTTGGACACAGATATTTCTATGCTAGTTTTGCCTTTTGGGCCAACTTATGAGTAATGATCAGTATATCAACTTTTTAGATCACATTTACAAATCATGTGATGTGTCACCGATACGAAATAAGTACTTTAATCAACACTTAAGTACTAATTCAATCTTCAACAATCACGTCAAAATTTATAAAATATGGTTTAATAGATGGCCTTCCTAGCATTAGCTGGTACTTATATATGGATATTTTTGCTAAGTAATTTTCACATAGGGGACCATGCCATGCTTAGTTGCTAACGATATATTGAATTCCAGTAGGATTAAAGACGAAAGACTTTGACATTCAAAGTAAACCACACATTATGGATCTGAGAATTTCCCTTTAGCTCTTCAGTTTGTGCAGATGCATTCCACTTCCAAATCCCTGTAAGCCATTACCGTTCTCATCTCTTAGCTTTCTTTTTCCTTTAACTAGTTTAGTTATTGTCTGTTGCATGCATGCTAGATATGGATGCAGCTGCGAGCATTGTTTTATCCCCGGCTTTGCAAGTACTCTTCGACAGATTGGCGTCACCGCTCCTACAAAAGGCTTCTGATCTCCTTGGTTACAACGACAACTTCCAGAGCCTGCAGCACGCATTGGTGCGAGCTCAAGCTACTCTTGAAGTTGCAGAAGAACAACAGTTCACAAACAGAGCTGCCAGACTTTGGTTGTTGGACCTCAAGAACGCAGTTTGCGATACTCAGGACATTCTTGACTTCTTTACTGCTCGGGAAAACTGGAATCGTATTTTTCGTCTTTCAATATCAGATGATGGAATTATAAAACCTGAAAAACTCAGGATTATGCTCCAGGGGTTGGAAAGGACTGTAACCGAGGGATTTCGCATGTTCAATATCAGAGAGCCTACCCAGCTGCTGCCTGGTATCGTAGATCAAGGGTCTGCAAAAAGGGAGACCAGCTCTTTTGTTAAGGACACAGAAATACATGGGAGGAAGGAAGAAAAGGAGAAGTTAATCAAGCTGTTAATATTTTCTGATGCCAACCAGGTTGAAGGAGGATATGCAGCTTGCATTCCAATAATTGGTCATGGAGGAATTGGTAAGACGACTCTTGCTCAATTGGCATATAATGATAAGAGGGTAATAAGACACTTTGATGTTAGGATGTGGATTTTTGTTTCTAATGACTTCAATATCACAAAGATCATGAAAGGAATTATTGAGTCGGTAACAAAGAGTAAGTGCGAGATCACTGGGATTGATGAACTTCAGACTCGGGTTTGGCATTTGTTGCACAATAAAAGATTTCTACTCGTGTTAGATGATGTATGGACTGAAGATCTGGATGATTGGGAAAAGCTAACACCTTTGTTTAGAGAGGGAGTTGATGGATGTAAGATTGTTGTTACCACTCGCAGCAGAAAGATCCCGTTGATGATGGACAGCTCAATTCCGTATCAGTTGGATGGTTTAACGTTTGATGATTGCTTGTCTTTGTTTAATCAAAGGGCTTTTGGAAGAGGAGGAGAAGAAAAGTATCCACACCTTGTTCTGATTGGGAAGCAGATTGTCAAAAAATGTGGAGGTTTTCCGTTAGCGGTAAAAAGCTTGGGAAGTGTAATGCGCTTTAAAAGAGAGGAAGGACATTGGTTGTTTATGCAGAACAGTGAACTTTGGCAATTAGATGTATGCCAACAAAAAGTTTTACCTGCGTTGATGTTGAGTTATCTTCATCTTCCGTCACATCTTCGACAATGCTTTGCCTTCTGCTCATTATTTCCCAAAAACTATGAATTCAAGAAGCAAAAGCTAATTCATCAATGGATGGCAGAAGGCTTTGTTCTACGACAAGGGAGCAAGCGACTAGAAGACATTGGTGATGAATACTTTTCCGATTTACTGTGGATGTCTTTCTTTCAAGAAGTAGAGGTTTCTGAAAATGATGATGTAGTCGGATATAGAATGAATGATGTGATTCATGATCTTGCACGATATGTTGCAGGAGAAGAGTCTGTGATACTCGAAGCAGGTCTTCCACCATATATTAATCCATCACAAATTCGACACTCATCTATTGTTTATACAAACAGAGATGGAGAAATCACAATCCCATTGGAGGCTCTATATGCAGCGGAACATTTACGAACTCTATTATTCTTAGGAGATTCTGGCTTGTTAAGCAACATGGGGAGGATGTTTTCAAGCTTTGTATATTTGCGTTTGCTAGATCTTAGTGGCTGTGATGTTTCTAGTTTCCCGGATGCATTGGGTGGCTTGATATGTTTGAGGTATCTTGACCTCTCTTACACGCCTATCGAAGACCTTCCTCTTAGGGTATGTGCGCTTGTATCATTGCAGACTTTAAACCTAATTGGCTGCTATAATCTTCGTGATTTGCCTTCCTTGGAAAGGATGACCTGCCTAAGACATCTCAATCTAACTGGATGTGAACAATTAATTCGAATGCCTGCTGGTATTGAAAGTTTACATCAACTTCAGACATTGCCATTATATGTCGCTGGGAGAGGTTGTCGCCTTAGTGAGCTGAAACAATTAAATCTTTATGACAAGTTGAATCTAACACACTTAGAGGAAGTACGGCACGCAGCAGAAGCAAAAACAGCTGCGCTGATGACGAAGAAAAATCTCGATTCATTGGGATTATACTGGGGACTATATCAACCAAGATCGGAAGATGTGGACATATCACTGGGGATAGTACCTAAACGCCGAGAAGGTTCAAGAGTGGGATTCAGAACCTCTATGGTAGCACAGGAAAAACATGCCGAAGAAATTCTCGACAGTTTACAACCACCGAAAAATATGAAAAAGCTATTCATAAATGGCTATCCAGGATTTAGATTTGCTGCTTGGGCTCTCCCAGAATATGTAATTGCAGTTGAAATTGCGAATTGCCAAAATTGTGGACATCTTCCAGCCCTTGGGAATCTTCTGCTGCTTAAAACTCTTTCTCTGCATGGGATGCATGGCGTAAGGCGCATTGGTACTGAGTTCTACGGTGACGGTGCAGACATAAGATTTCCATCACTTGAAAAACTATCACTCAGTGATTTTCCCAACTTGGAAGAGTGGACAAGTGCAAATAGCGAAAATTCATTCCCAAGCCTGAAGAAATTAACCGTCAAAAGATGTCCCAAGCTAGCACATATCCCATCTCCTCAATCCCTTCAACATCTAGAGCTGCAAGACTGTAATCCAATGCTGACGCTCGTAGCAAATTTAGGTCTGCTTTCTGTGCTTGTTCTAGAGAACATTCCAGGCCTACTCACTCTCCCAGAAGGGCTCACTGCATCAGCCTGTCTGTCTTCTATGAAGATCTTGTCGTGCCCCAAACTTCGTTCACTTCCTTTGCAGATCCGAAACCTTACTGCTCTGAAATCATTGACCATTCAATGTTGCGAAGAGCTCTCCTCTCTGCCTCAGACTTCACAAAACCTCAAAGCGCTGGAGTCACTAGAGATTAGTAACTGTCACAGTATAATATCCATGCCGGATGGTTGGATTGGAGGTTTGAGTTCCCTTCGAACTTTGTCCATTGAAAACTGCAGTAACCTAACTTCTCTGTCGTCGAGTTTGGAACGGCTCACGTTGCTTGAGCACTTGACGATTATGTTCTGTCCAAATCTTGGTCCTTTTCCTGAAGGTGTTCAACACCTCTCCTCCCTTCGAAGTTTGATCCTGTTGAGCTGTCCTTGGTTTGATTCTCTGCCAGAAGGGTTACAAAATGTGAGAACACTGCACTGTCTCAAAATTGGTAGCTGCCCCAATCTAACAGCTTTGCCAGAATGGTTTGAGGGTCTTGATTCTCTTAGGTCCTTGACGATATTTGACTGCCCCGGTTTACAACTATTGCCACCAGGTTTCAAGATTCTCACTAAACTCCAACACCTCTCTATTCAAGAATGCCCGGAGCTTGAGGAAAGATGTAGACAAGGTAGTGGTGAGGATTGGTTGAAGATAGCCCACGTCCCGCATAAGTACATCGGACCACCTCAGGCCAGGCAGTCCGGTGAAGCGAGCACATCTGGCAGCTGATCTCTTCATTCAAACATCTTCTCAGTGAGCAACTTTCATTTCATTGTCGTCAACAAGCTTTCATCATTATGCTAAGCCATACCTAGCCTCCTTGTGTACTCGTTTCTGATGGGATGACAGGTAAACGCTGCTTATTTTCTTAAAAACACAAAATCATTCACTAATTAACAAAAACAAGAGTAATTAATTAGAAGGATGTGTGTAAACTGAATTAATTGGTCACCTGCTCGTGATTTACCGTGGTTTTAATTTCATTGTATTGATAACTGCAGCATGTTTGTATACACGGCGAAGAGGCTGCACGTATTGAAGAGCTCACAGCTATCCACCATACAACGTATGTGAATCGTACTGTTGATCTTATAAACTTTTAGTTTGAAAGTAGTCTAATTAGATGCATTCATGAAACTTGCCGACACATGTTCAGATTTGAAGGTGATGGTAAAATACACCATAGTTTATTGTGGTGAGCAAAAATGCTCCCATAAATTCAACGTACACAGGTTCAAGGAAGCACGCACAATCTGTTTGATAAAGCCAGTAATTTATTTGATAATCCATTAGTAAATTAATTTAGTACAGATATACTCAGGTACAGATTGCCACCAATTATAAAGTCTCCAGACTTTGCACATCTCCTTTTCGTCATGCAAGAATTTTACCGATTCTGGTTGTGGCTTGTGCATCAGTCACCTTCCAGAAAGCTTTTCTGAAACTAGTGCTCTTATCTGGTGGCATCAACCTAGCCCCTCAACCATGTGTTTCAGTAAGATGAATTGTCGTGCAGCGAATCATCATGTGGCTTGTATTCCATGAGATAGCCGTGTGGAAGCTTCAAGTTCCGCTTGATCGCATCTCTTAAAGCCATTACAGCCACACTACACACACACAGAAAGACTAGTCACACAAGCAGCAAATCGTTATAAATTACCAACCTGATGATCAGAAGCATTCCGGTTCCAGACACTCGATATATCCTCATTGAATATGATGCTTAGTACCGCACCACATATGTTCTCTCCATAATCAAGCTGGTCACCCACCAAGGCAAGAACCTGTGCATAACATGTAAGTAGGTGCAGAAATAAGTTCTAGGACACATCTCTCCTCTAACGAGGATATACTACGTTCAAATACCCCCAATGCCCACCCCCAAATATCTCAATTTAGAAAACATAAGAGAAAGCCACATTAAATTAGCAGTAAAACACCATAACAGAAACACTCTCGTATAATCACATGTATGTGCATTAGTATGTCAAGCACGTCCAGGCATTTGTATATACTTCTATAGGCTCCATTCAGACAGCATCCAGAGATTAGGAAGTGTACTTCAGAAAAGATGCCAACATGTGTGATTCAGGGTTTAGGCTTTAATGCTAAGGTTCGGGTGACAAACCACCCGCAAGAGTTAAAACCTAAACCTAAAAGTATCAACCCATTGCCATAAAAGTGTAATACGCTGTTCTTACGATCTGGGATCCTGCCAAACAGGACCCCGCACCTGAAGCTGCCAGAATATGCCTTCTTAGATCAGTAAAAAACAATTGGAAGCATCACTTGAATTGCAGAAAGATATTCATTACTCAACAAAATCAATGAGACAAAGTACCAATGAATAGAGAATGCAGCGTAGTATTTTAAGCTACCTAATACAGAAAGTAACTTATTAGCCAAATTAAAAATAAACTCCGACTTCATTACGAGCACATCAGTGCAAATACTTTGAAACCTGACAGAAAATACAAAGAGAGGTTTAACGTCCTCTGATTTCCACTAAACTAGCAATTGTTATGTCATTTGCAGTTGCAGTTGTTATTTAAGAACCATCATTCATGTTAATTAATCTAAAAATCCACTCTAACTAATTGCCAATATCTAATACATGACATATAATATGACAGATAATAAGAAAATCAAACAAAAAATAATCATCCAAAACACCATTGAAGAAAAACACAAATCAAGAACTCACCAGTAAAGCAGGATGTGATTCAAAATAATCCAATTTCCAAACTTTCCCAGTATGTGCCTCCGGAATCTGAAACCAATTCCCAAACAATCAAAATAAGAACAAACCTTGAACATAATTCAAAACAAGATTTAAAAAGAACAACAAGCTTCGTCGCGGGCAGAGAGACCCCAGAGAGACCCCTATGGACTCGGTTCGAGCGGCTCGAACGACAAGCTTCATTGTGGGTAGAGAAGTAATCAATTTTTCTTACTTCTCTCTCAATTTTTCTTGTTTCCTCCACAAACCCTAATTTTTTTCCCCAATTAATTTTTTCCACAAACCATATCACCTTCCCCAATTAATTTTTTCCCAACCCTCCATCCCCAATTTTTTTTTTCCCGACACCCAGACACTCATCCCTTCGCTCTTCCCACCCCTCTTTCACTCACTCTGCCATCCCCAAATTTAAAAATCCAAACAAATAAATAATGAAATTTTAGACAATAGAAGCTTACCAGAGGAAGCACGCCAAGCCGGAGAACGCAACTTGGAGAATGAGAGAGAACATTGGGAGGAAGGAAGTTTCAGGTTGGAGATTGGGTTTTGGGGCGACGAGTTGGGAGTTGGGAGCGAATGAGTGAGACAGGAGGGAGTGAAGTGAGATGCCAGAGGAAGGAAGAGAAGTGAGGCGCGAGAGGTAGCATTGCCATTTGAAAACTTTCATTAAACGGTACTGTTCATCCATGTTTCCGTGATAAAAAGCCGTTTTCTGAAAGCAGCAAATAGCTGCTCTACTTTCCAGCTGTTTCTGGCAACAACTTTGAAAATAAGTGCTTTGTTGATGAGTTACCAAACGCAATTCTGGCAGCAACTTTTTTTCATCCCAGTTTTTTAAAAAAAAAAATTTAAGCTTTACCAAACCAGGGCTTACACTACGAAAAAAAAAGTTGTAGTTTGCTTGTTGTTGAAGAACTAGTTGCTATAACTATCAAGTTTTTATTCCAAATTAGGTTTGCTTCCTGTTCTTTAGTTTGAGGTATGAAGCTTGCAAAAACACAAATGATTCCCTAGTTGAAAGATTTGAGAGGACATATGTCATTTAAGGGTTTAGGAATCCTAAAACCTAAACCCTAAACCCTATGTCATTTAACTGTGGTTAGGGGTGTGCTAAAATGCCTTTAGTCTTTCGAGCCCATTGGAGATTAGTCCTACCTTTAGAATGTACCCCAAACTTTGATAAAAACCAAAAAAAAACAAAAAAAAATTTCATTCATGAGTTTTGATGAAGTTATAATCTTCTCTAACAAAATGGAGATTAAGTATCAATAAATCAAATGATCATAGCCTTTGCTTATTGCACTTGTTGATTATGATTTATTAGGTACTTGCTTATTAGTATTTATCTTCAATGACTAAATAAAACAAATCGAATGCATACTTTATTATTTTTTCAGATGACTCACAAAGTCACAATGATTTGGCGAAATGACAAATGATATTAAGCCCGGGACAAAACAATGCCTGCAGCTGCTTCCATATCTAGCGGCAGACAGTACATTAAAAACCAATTTAAAAAAAAAAAAAACAAGGCTGAGAGATATGCGGATTGTAATGGCCTAACCCTAATGAGATTTGGAAATGGAATCGATCTACACAAGTTCAACTTAGTTGAAGGGTAGCCAGAGGGAAATTGTCAAATCAATTGAAGAAAGCTGAGGTTTCATCATAAAATCAATTGGCAATACGAGAAGTAGCCCAATTTACTTATAAGCTCTTGTATGGTTCCTCCTCTCATCAACGTAGTATCGATTCTCAACCTCCAACAACCACAATGTAGGTTTGAATCAATGTCAAGGTCTTTCATCTTTAGTATTGGAATCAAATCATTGTTAGCAACAAAGATTCAAATAAAAGTAGCCCCAAGAGTCAAAAGTTGTAAAAAAATATCGGTGTCCAAACAAAAGTAATTAAGCACTAATATGTTTGCTAATTGACACCATGGAAGTAAGCATTCCAAAATACCAACTTTACAATATTACTAGTAGAAGCCGTCAATAGAAAACTAGAAGATGATGGCGAAGAAAATTTGTTTCTTAGTATTTATCTTGTATGTATTCTAGGTTACTGCGTTTTGGTTTGTTTCCTAGTCTTTTTTTATTATTTTTTTTAATAAATTCCTTCAAAGTTGGAGAATAGTATAATGAATTAGGTGAGATTTTAACTTAAGGAGAACTCTGAAATTTAACCCCGAAACTTTATTTTCAAAAACTCAATATTTACAGTGTTTTCAGTTAGAATATTATTAGGGCGTGTTTGTTTGCCCTCGTTAAAGTTCACTGGATTGCTTTGCTAAGACTACTAATCTCGTGTTTGATGTGAGCTGGACTAAACTGAAATGAGACTAAGTTGGACTCGTTCCAATTAAGTGCTTTGCTAGGTCGTCCTAGTGAGAAACCCCACCCCCCCCCCCCCCCACACACAAACACAAAAAAAAAGCATGGGATTCCTAATCCCGTCTCCAACATCGTTTGCACACCTTTGTCGTTTGCGACTCTGACTCCCGTACCCATGCCCAAATCTCAAACCTACTGCCTAAATCTCAAAATCAACACCTAAAATTCAAAACAAAAAAAATGCAAAACCCCCAAAATTAAGCACCTGCAGACGAATCCCCCACACAAATTCAAAATAAAAAGGCAAAATCACTAGAAAATTTTGAGATTTTCCTAGAAAATCAGTGAAGGTGCTGGGTGGAGAGCTTTGATAAATCCTCTGTGCGAATCTCTGCATAAGGAAAAGAGGGGGAGTGTGGAAGAGGAAAAGTGGGAGAGGGGAGGGAGAGAGTGGGCAGAGGAAAAGTGGGAGAGGTATACAGAGATGAAGAGAATTCTAGAAAAATGGTGAAACAGGATAAAAAGAGGGAGAGGAGAGGGAGAGATTGGCGGAGTTAAAGAGAAATGGGTTAAGATGATTTTAGAAAAAAATAAATAAAAAGATACTGGGTATTAGATAGAGAGATGATTCTAGAAAAAAAAAAAAAAGATAAATTAATAATAAACTATTAATAAATGTAGATTAAATAATATAATATTTGAGTCTTTTAGTTATCCTGCTTCTTAGTCTGATACTGCACCAAACATTTCACTAAGTTAGTCCAACTTAGTTTAGTCTAAGCCAGTCCAGTTTAATGCCTAAAGCTAGTCCAGTCCGATATAATTCAGTGCAACAAACGCATCCTTATAGTCTTATAAAAAAAAGAGAGTCACTTTATGATAGAATTAGAGTATCCAACCCAAAACGTTGGGGATGAATGGAGAGGCTCAAAATTTTCTCGTTTTAAATAGGTTTCTTGGTGCTTTGAGGTTTCGATCCCATTGTTTAAGGCATTTCGTGGCTGCTGTTAAAATTTCATGTAACATGAAACCAACCATAACGTTGGATTTGTAAAGTCAAGCCAGAAGTTCAACTAAAACATTCAAAGAACACTAAAAAATTACAAAACAATATGTACAAAAGAACAACATGAAAAAGTTTATATTTCTTGCAAGTCAAGATTGGATTTGATTTTGACCTAAAACTAATAAAACATAAGACACTATTATTTTCTTAATTAAGAAACTTTATTTGGAATCTCTCAAAGTAAATTTAAGTGAGACTTTCTGACATTGTAATATAGAATATGAACAGCAAGAAACCTTATTTACCTACGGGGAAATTATTACAGTACGTATCACTGTATTTGTATAATATCATTGCCGTCCCCGACTCTCCGATGCCAATATATCACCTTCTGTTCGAAATTTCATATATCTTGAGGGTGACAGTAGAGTGGGTTAATCTGGCCCCTTTTTCTTCTTTTGGGTCTTGCATGCATTACCAAACGCCTGCCACTGAGGTGGACTATTTGCTATAAGTATGAATGCAGTACACAGATCATTTAGGCAAAGTTAATCGTCAGTTAAGGTTGGATGTAGATATTACTTGTTCAAACAAAATTGTGGCCCTAGAAAAATGCAGATCCGAAAGTTAAATACCGCAACTAAGTAATGCGTAATTTCGTTCGATTTCTTATAACCATGCATATATTTAATAGCGGAGTCAGAATCTTATGACAACGAGGGTGTGACAAAGAAGAAGTCCTCAAATATTGATTGTTCACATATATATACTTTAGGTTATACTCGTGTTTGACAAAGATTTTTTTTTTTTTATTAGTCAAAATGAAATCTAAGACTGGTATAACTCATTAGTTTGATTCCTGAAAATGAAAATCGATAGAAGTACTTCCTGAGTTTATCCATCGTAAATCATTTTTGTCATTTTATGAAAAATCTACCAATATTCTTGTTAAATTGTCACGTGCGAATACATGACCACCTTTTAAGGGTATTTTTGTCAAACCAACCGCTCCACTTAATGAGAATATTGATAGATTTTTCACAGAAAATGATCAAAATAATTTACGGTGGATAAATTCAGGAATCACTTCCATCGATTTTTTTTGTCAGGGACCAAAGTGAGGAGTTATGCCAATATTAGGAACCATTTTGACTAAAAAGCCTGATTTTTATCTCAAATTTAAACATTATCTTAGATCTTTCGATATTTTTCTTTCCAATATTTAATGTTAAAAGAAGTCTTAAATTCGAATTCCGAACTTATTGATTGAAGACGAAGTTCTTGGTGCTCTAATTAATACACATTCATAATGGTCTTAGTGTATATGATGTGCAAAAATAGTATCAAATGCACATGACTTGTATTATCTGTGTATTAATATTTTTCTTGGAATCATATGCTAAATTTTAATGGTAACAAAGGCATCTTGTGAGGGTCAGAGATGCTAAATTTTAACAAGGTTCTAAAAAATGTTAGGCAGATAGGAGGGATCTAGGCAGGCGCCTAGACAGATTTAGGTAAATTTCTTATATATTATATAAATTAATAAATTTACTATATTAAATGTAAATAATTATTGACTAATATACTATTTCTTATAGAAGAATATACATATGTGAATGTTTTATGTACATATATGATATGCTTGCCTAGGAAAAAAAAAAACAAATATTATCTAAATAATTTGTAATTTATATAAGATTTACACACACACACTCTATATATATATCCCAAACTTTTATAAATATAAAAAGCCTTTTCATTGTTAAAACTTAAAACCATCAAACCGTCCATCACCCGTCCACCTTGGGTGGATTTCATGATTAAAACATAATCCATGGTTTTCAATTTTAAAATCATCAAACCATCCATGCTCTTTCACATCACCCAAGCTTTTGAGTCCTCAACTTGCACCACCAACACATATTGAAATGTTTAAATCTCTCTCTCTCTCTCTCTTCTCTGCTCTCATCTTCACAACGAGCTGCATAAATTATATGGCAACACTTTTTCTTCCCTCATCTTCACATAGACAAGTTGCAAAAATTCACCAGTAGTCTCTCTCTCTCTTCGCACTCTCTCTTCCCTCATTTTCATAGAGACGAGCTACAGAAAATTTTCCAGGTCTCTGCTACTACGTACGAGATCGGAAGTTGTAGATCCTTTGCGAAAATTGCAACAAGTTTGGGATTTGCAGCGAGATTCAAACCGTCTAGACTGCTGCCTAGCTTGCCTCAGGCGCCTAGCGAGCGCCTAGACGGCCACCTATATCCTCCCTGCCTAACTAAACATTTTGGTCTAAATTAGGTCGGAGCTTTGCCACCCAGCACCTAGACGCCGCCTAAACCGATTTTTAGAACACTAAATTTTAATGGTAACAAAGGCATCTTGTGAGGGTCAGATACACCCATTGCCACCTACCTCCTTCCAGGCACCCATTGCCCCCTACCTCCTTAG